AACTTCTATGTCCGCCACTTCAGAACAAACTGACGCGCCCGCAAACGTGTCGACGACGATGTTTGCGTCCCCAAAAAAATCCAAATGTTTCTAGAGGTTTGGAGTGTGCAGCAAGCGCTAAGCTTGCGGACGCAGCGTAATAACCAGCCACCCACTATATGGTCCTTATGGACTTCCTATTAAATCCAAGCAGATTCTCGGTAAATGCAGACCTTCGTTCTTTGATGCATTTGCCCTAGCTGGTTGTTCCGCCATTCTAGTGACTTTTTCTTGGTCCAATTTTTTATTAACTGCATGATGCGCTGATTTTGTCACGCCACAGAAATGCTTTGAACATATAAGTCGCTTAGTTGCACTTTTTCGGGCGTGTTTATCCACCTTCTGATTTCCTTTGTGTCCTGGTACCCGGATCAGTTATCTTGTTTCGGTTTCCCAGCTCTCTGAGAGTGTTCACGGATTCCACTACAAGCTTAGACGACATTTGCGTGGACTTGACACCTCAATCTCTGTCTGAACAGATGGCTGTCAACTGATCTGCAGTCTCCTTCCTTAATTGCTCTCTTGCGCGAATTTCCATGGCTGTCACTTCAATCTGAAAGGAAACCCACATTTTTCATGCTGTTCAAAAAAGCTAAAAGCTAGAACTAGATGGCGCTGTTTAGGTTAAATGTCATATCTAAGGTTATAAACATTTTAAGATGATGTTGGTGGAGTTCAAATATTTCATAAGCTCAAATATATTTTTCCCTTCGCGCGAATCATACGTTTGCGAATGCGTAAATCGAAGGATCTGGGGCTCCAACTATTAATATTCTGTATACCTTGCGATTCATCGTACGAAACTTAACCTTGAATGTATAAATACAAAAAAATTGATAGTTGAAATAATTGCAAAATGCTTTTTGTTAACGTGGGAGTTCGATGTTGCCAATTCACTTTATTGCATAGATTAGATTGCAATCAGCGTATAAACGTTCGAACATATCAATTCATAAATCTGTTACACATTTATATGCCTGTGTTCAGCTTAAGTTTTTTTATAGACTATAAAGGTCATGTTTGAAGTATAATTTCATCATTAATTTTTATTATATAATTGCAGTAGTTATTGTTAGTTGTGGTACAAAAAAAAATCGCGTCTATTTATTAAACAAAAGGAGAGATATCTCAATTCACAGATGTAAATTTATGCTTGATATTGTGTTAAAAAATACGTTACATATTAATAGTATAGTGATTATACTAATTTACTACTTTATAATTAAATGATCAAGTAATTATTCATTTGTTATCTATTATTTTGAATTAACCTTTGATATAGAACAATTATATTTTTTTCTGAGAAAAATTAATTTGGTGACGTCATGAGTCTCAGGACAAAGTTTTTCTCTATTCTGGAGATACGTTCCTGCAGGTATTTATATCTTTTATACGATGTAAAAAGTAGATTTCACCAAGCTCTGGGAATAATATTTAAAAAATTCAATATTTAACTTTCAGCGAGTGTAAACTCTTGTCTTTCTATGACAATTGGCGACTAAGTATTGCAATCGCAAAATATTTCGAAAATAAAATATTGGTTTTTGGATGTTACATGACATGTAATGTCTGCCCTCCAATCCTTAACCCCTGTATAACTTGGCAAGTACTGCTCAGATTTTTGAAAAAAAATCAGACGAGGTGAATACTATGTCAAGTTCCTGCTCATTTTTGAGAATTTTTCTGAGGTGACAAGTCTAAGGGTGGAGGGTTGCTGGAGGTGGGGAGAGTAGTATATTTCATTTTGTACGCGTTAATGTGTTAACACGCTTCTAACCCCAGTAATTATACACACCTATTAGACATATGTCACACATAGATTCCCCCGTACATTTGCCCTCAAGACTTAGAATGACGGCTATGAAAATAAAATATTTTCATAGCCGTCGAGCGCAACGAAAATAGAAGATAAAGCTATGGGAAGCTGAGCGCTGCCGCTGGCGGTTTACTCTATACGTGTTTTCTAAGCGATGCTGAGTCCGTTTTTTTTTTCATTCGAAAGTCTTGTCTGTATTAGGGTATTTAAGGTCGAATGTCCCTTTTATCAAGTATCAATCCACGATTCACTTGAAGGTCGGGTGTTTTTAATTTGTCCATCTGATAACTTGTGAGAGGTTTCAAAATTGGAAAGTTTTAGTCGTAAAAAGTAATATTATTACTGTTTTTACTTCGCACGTCTTCTGGCGGAGTTTTGTAATCGCGAAAATATTCGGAAATGAGATATGTTTTTGGACGATATATGACATGTACATCGCGAAAAATAATGTCATTCATTTCCGTCGGTCTGTCCGCAAATCTTTTAACCGCCTTGAGAAGTAGCGCTCGGATTTCGATGAAATTTTCGCACTATGCCAAGGACGCAAATGCTTTGTAGGTTTTGAAAATCGATCCTGTGGTAGCGGAGAAAAATGCCAAAAACAAAAAAATAAAAATCGCCCAAACATAATTTTTTGATTGATTTTCGGAAAAAAAATTTGTAGGCGTGAAAAATTGGCGGTGTAGAGGAGGGTATATCTCAATTTTTTGACGCTGGTATATTCTTAAGCCTCCAATCCCAGTAATATTACATCACTATATTAATATATTAGGCACATTTTACTCAATATAGATTAACCCTCAAACATTATGAATATCTCCTACAGTCGGGTGTCGATATGTGCGACATCGTTCCCCGATGGACAAGCGTCGTCGTCGGTGGTCGTACGTTACAGTCGGCAATCGCTTCCACACTACAGTGGGCTGCGTGGAATGTGCTTGGTGAATGCCATTATTGTCATTAACGCGGGGTGGGCCATCACAGCGATCATGTGTACCTGCAACAATTCCTCGCAGAGGGGAGGAGGAAGGTCATTTTTTTTTTGTTTTACGTGTTCGTGGGCAGCTTATTTGCTCAGAAGGCCTAACTTGTGCCAAACACAATCCTTTACGAACTGATGACACTGTAGCTTAGGAAGTACAGAGTCATTTAGAATTCAGGATTCTAGTAATACTGACATTCCGGATGACTTAGCAGTTCCCAATGAAATAAATAACTATTTTACCAGTATATTCCAGAAAAGTGAAGATGATTGCTCGGAAACTATCGAATTTTATAGCCATAACAAATTAAACTAAGATTTTCATTTTCAGTTCCGTCTTGTCGATATATCTACAGTATTGGATGCTATTCGCAGTATCAAGTCCAATTCTAGTGGTATTGATGGCATTACCATTGAGATGATTAAATTGTGTCTACCTGCTGTAGAAATATACATTTTGCACTTAATAAATTGTTGTTTAGAGCGCGGTGTTTTTCCAAGTGCTTGGAAGGAAGCATTAGTGCAACCTCTTCCAAAGATTCCCAATCCCCAGGTTCCTGGTGATCTCCGACCTATTAGCTTGCTGTCAGCTCTATCAAAAATTCTAGAAAAAATAGTTTATATGCAGTTGAATGAGTATTTACTCGAACGCAGCATTTTGCCATTAAATCAATCAGACTTCAGAAAGGGTCACAGTACCACTACCGCTTTGGCACGGGTTTGTGACGATGTACTAACAGCGGCGGATAGGCAAGAAGCAACTGCATTAGTCTTATTGGATTTCAGCAAGGCTTTTGACACCCTGAATCATAAGCTGTTAGTTTCTAAATGTAAATACATTGGGTGTGACGACTTGGTTCTGGAATGGATAGATTGGTATTTAAATGAACGACATCAATATGTCGTCATACAAAATAAACTTTCAGACAAAAGGCCGATTTGTTCTGGCGTGCCTCAGGGATCGATATTAGGTCCGCTTTTATTCCTTATATACACCTTTGACATTTCTAACACAGTTCAACATTGTTTTAGTCAATCATATGCTGATGATATGCAGGTTTTTCATAATTTCTGTCCGAACAACTACCATTTAGCTAACAACCTTATCAATCAAGATCTGCAATACTTATGCACATATGCTGCAAAACATAATGTACGTCTAAACGCATCGAAATCGACAGCTATACTTTTTTGCTCAAAGAAAAAACGTACTTTCCTCAAATCAAAGTTAAATTTATCACTAAATAATAATATCCTAATATTTTCCCATTCTGCAAAAAATTTAGGTTTGTACTTGGATGAAGATTTCAGATTTCAGGAGCATGTTGGCTATGTGTGTAAGTCTAGTTATTTTAGACTCGGGCTTCTATATGCAAGTAAAACTGTTTTAAATACCAACATTAAGAAAATGTTATGCGAGTAACTCATACTCAGTAAAATCGCTTACTGCAACATAGTTTATTATCCCTGTCTGCATGAAATCACAAAATACAGACTGCAAAAAATTCAAAACTCATGTAGTCGTTACATAAACAATTTAAGAAGGTACGATCATGTTTCTCACTCAATATCTTCAATGAATTGGTTGAAAATTTCTGATCTTTTCAAATACAACTTTGTTACATTTGTCGTAAAAATATTAAAAACTTCTGTTCCCATTTATCTTATGCAAAAGCTTGTTCGTAGGAATTTAATTCACAATTTGAATACGCGCAACATTAATCTCCTGACAATGCCACAACATAGGACAGCCATGTTTCAACGGTCTTTTACGTATAATGCGGTGAAATTGAGCAACTCTTTCGAACAATATTTCATCAGCAACTTTTCTAAAAAAAAATATAAAAACTACTTATTGAGCTCTTAGGTTATTGTCCTCTCTTTGAATCGTACGTATTATGTTTTTTTGTTCTAATCGTACGCATTATGTCATATTTATTAATTCTTCTTTTACTATTATTCTTCTTTTTCCTTTTCTTTCTCAGTTTTTTTTTATTTTATTTTGAAGGTAGTAATAATCATTGACATTTATGGTTAAGTATAAATGGCCATTGGCCAGACTTCGCCATTTGTAAGGATACATAATTATGTATGTGTTACAATAAAGTCCATTGAATTGAATTGAATTGAATTTACTTGACGCCATTTTTTATTTTGTTCCAGCGATAAACATTATAACACTGGGCATTACAAACCAAAGAGAAACAACGATACTATGGGATAAAACAACAGGAGAACCTCTATATAACGCAATTGGTGAGCAATATATCTCTTTTTTCTTTACGAATAAATCTAAGAAAGTTATTTTTTTAGTATGGAATGACATTAGGACCGACTCCACAGTAGATATAATACTAGCCAAGGTCCCAGATAACAATACAAACTATTTCAAGAATATTTGCGGTCTACCCATATCACCATACTTCAGTGCTTTTAAAATCAAGTGGCTTATGCACTTTGCACCTCAGGTTAAGAAAGCTATCAAAGCTGAAACGTGCCTTTTCGGGACTGTAGATACATGGATATTGTGGGTGAGTGGTAGAATTTTATATAGAAAGAGTAAATATTTAAGACTATCAGGATCCGTATTCTTGAAAATAGAACTAGAATCACTGAGGGAATACAATAGAATAGATCATGTATATTCAGCTATAAGCTACAATATTACATTAAGACATAACAAAAATCACATATCACTTGGATCTTCTAAAATATAAAGTCCTTAATTCCTTAATCCTTCAACAAAAAGAGATTTTTCCAATGCCTTGGTTTTGAACTACATATTCTTATCATCTAAGTACTATCAAATCACGACTTTGACTATGAACATTTTCTAAGTCCTTCTGGTCTGGGCACCTTCTTCGAAAATATGTTAATCACTAGGTCCTCTAACCTGAGGCAGATTAAGCAGTCGGATACCTCGGTAATTAGTTTTTATCTTCACGCCTGCATCCGTATAATAAACTTTATTGGTGTTATTGTACATTCAGTACTTCCACACCTAACATAATTTTATAGTATACATAGATAATCGAATTCTCATAGTAGTAGTCGATTGCAGATCAAAATATGTATACTTAAGAATTATATATATGTATAATGTGACATAATTTAAATGTGGGTATAAAAAGATACAGTAAAATAAAAAACATAACAGATAGAACACATATTAAAATTTTAAATCCATTTCTCTTGGAATGAATAAAAAACATTTCCAGCAAGGAATCTTCTTTTTATTTGTTTAAAGGCATTTAAATTTAAGGATCTGATTTGCAGAGGTAATTTATTGTAGTATTTGGGTGCTGTAATTTTTACACTTTTCTGACTTTTTTGTAATCACACAAAAGCCACATTTAAGTTTCCAGCACTTCTTGTATAGCATACAACACTGCTTCATAAATATATATTGAAGGCAGTGTAAGTATCCTCGATTCTTAGAATTTTTGTTTGCAATCGCCAGTATACTTCAGTAAATACAATATCCTAATCGCCCACATCTGTAAAGAGAACAGTCGGTGGCAGTTTGCACCCTGACCCCAAACTGAGATACCATATATCAAAGAGTGGCATAAAGCAAAATAAACTGACTTCAATGTATCACTATTCAATTCGTACGATAAGCTTCTAAGTAAATAAATGTTTTTTCTTAGCTTTTTTGCTGTTTCATCATTGTGCATGTCCCATTTCAATTTCTTGTTTATGTGTATACCCAGAAATTTTTTCAATGAAAATATCAAATTTACTGTCTTGTTTTCATTGAGCCCAAGTACGAGTTATGCCGTTTAAGTTTTGCATATAGAAATAAAACAACACGATAGGTAGTTTTAAATGACTTTATTGTTTTTAGAAGTATACTCCACGATGATTAATACACATCTGCATGCGCTCGAACCAATTTTCGAAGCACTGATCCCACTCGTTTGCTGGCAGATCCAAAACGACATTTTTAAATGCGTCAACTGCTTCTTCTGGTGACTGGAATCTTTGACCACGTCTGTTTTTAATTTTCGGGAAAGTAAAGAAATCGTTAGGACTTAGATCGGGACTATATGGAGGATGGTCCAATAATTCCACGTTTTCTTCCGTTAAATACTGCCTTGTTTTTTGGGCTGTGTGCGAGCTTGCATAGTCTTGGTTGAGGATGATTCTTCTTTCGGGGTTGATTTTTCGAAGCTCGGTGATGACTTTTGGCAAACAAATGGTATACCAATCCGCAGTAACAGTTCTTTGCTCATTAAGAGGAATTGTTGCAATATGACTCGCTTTTGACACAAATGTCGCGACCATCTTTTTCCGAAACACTTCGAGAACGGATGACTTTTGTTGGCTTTTCTTCACCTTGGAACACCCAAACAGCCGACTGTCGTTTATTTTCTGGTTCATAACAGTAAATCCACGATTCATCACCACTAACAATGCTGTACACATTTTTTGAGTTTCCGGAATTGAAACGGTCAAGCGTTTTTTGACACCAATTAACCCCGGCTGCTTTCTGCTCTTTAGTCAACAGGTGGGGTATCCAACGAGAAACTAATTTTCTTACTCCTAATTTTTAATGTATTTTTTTTTAATTGAGGTCTTTGAGATCTTCAAGGACGTCTCAATCTCGCGATATGTCACATGTCTATCTTCAATGATGAGTTTGCGCACAGCATCGACGTTTTCCTGGGTGACTGCCGGTTTTGGTGCATCCACCCTGGGTTCGTCGCTATGACTCACCCATCTACGTTTGAATTCTCCATACCAACGGGAAATTGTCGACTGATGTGGCGCTTCGTTGCCGAAAACAGACAGTAACTCAGCAAGGCATTCTTGTTGCGATAATTGTCTCTGAAAGTTGTAATAAATTATGGCGTGAAAATGTTCTCGGTCGAGTTCCATTTTTCTAATGACTTGGTGACACTTAAAATTTCACTGTAGTGAGAACACTGCACGTATTGTTGTAAAACTTCGAATTTAAGTTTACTAAAGAGTGAGGTTAAGATTCAGTACTGACGTTCGATCCGCGCGGCCTACTATGTTTCTATATGCAAAACTTAAAAGACATCCCTCGTACTGAACCCTGGCGTACACCGTGTTCAATATATTTTTCGTCTGTCTTATTTCCGATTTTTACTAAATATTGTTTTCTATTGCTTAAATACGAATCGAAGTTCTACATTCTGGGAATGTGGTCTGTAAGAAATCTTTTCTTTTTTTTTTTTTGGTGCGTCAACTATGTCATCGTCCAAGTTCAAAACTGCGTTGTTATTTTCAAAATGTAAGACGATTTGTTTTACCAAGTATTTTTCGTAAATTTTGCTGAGAACAGGAAGTAATGATATTGGGCGATAGTTTGCGATATCGCCAATATCGCCGTGTTTGAAAACCGGTATCACAACTGCACGTTTTAAGCAGTCAGCAAATAAGCTACACTCAGAGCATATATTTATTCATTTGGTTACAGGAATTATGATTTGATTTTTGATCTTTTTCATTAAATCAGTGCTGATATCATAAATATTATGTTCTTTCTTTTACGAGAATTGATAGCGTCTCTGACATTATTAAATGACACCTTTCCTAGATGTTGCTCACCTTTATCTAAGTTTTCTAGCAGTTTATTCGCAACTGTACAGAAAAAGTCGTCGAATTTATTTAGTTCTTTTGACGTATTCATACGACTGCTTGTATTTTTGTTTTTTTTTCTAACAATTCCCCACATAGTCTACATTGGATTGTTAGATGTTTTAACGATTTTTAGTCTAAGTTTAATATTTTTTTCATATAAACAGATTTTTCTTTGTTATACAAAGAATTAAGAAAAAAAATATTCTCTCATACTTCTGAGTTTGCATTTTACGTCAAATCAGATCTAGTAGGCAATATTTCTTCTGGGAATGCTTCATATACACATACATATACTTATATAAGTCTTACGTCAAATTGTCTACATTTCACACATTGACTATATTTGTTTATGTTCAATTTAATGTTATTGAATTTTGTTTTCATGCTAATGAAATCAAAGTGATAAGGATGTGTCAATCAAATTGCTGTACACATCATAAATATGCGTCTGTTTATTGCAGTCTTAATCACAATTTATTTTTATTTCGTTCCGAAATGGTTTTCTCAGAGTCTCTCCATCTTAGCTTCCCAAATTACGAGAAGCACTCTAATCTGATAAAGAACGGGGGAGTTGTGGCTTTTGTCCGCAGCAGTTGTTCCTGTTCCATATATGTTTCTTTGGAATCAGACTGGAAGGACATTCTGTGGCTTCGCCTTAACTCCAAAACATCCCCCAAATTTATTTGCTGCCTTTATCGCTCTCTCTCTCTCTCTCGGACCATAACTGGGATGAGCTACTTCAATACCTCGCCGTCAAGATCGACTTCCGGAGCATCAGTCACCTCGCTTCAGAGGTGGTTCTTCTCGGTGATTTCAATGCCCATAATGAGCTTTGGTTGGGCTCAAACAAGACCGACGCAGCAGGTCGTGCAGTTGAAGCGTCCGCTCTCACTCAAGGGCTGACCGAACTGGTGACGAGCCCTACTTTTTTCCCCGCGTCTCGTCATGTGCCAGTAGCCTGCAGGATTTATTTCTGACCACGCATCCTATCCCTTACAGCACTGCTGTCCTGTCACCCTGGGTAACTCAGACCACGGTGTTGTGGAGGTTAGGTTTCGATCAGAACCCGCTGTGGCATCAGAAACTCGTACAGGCCGCAAAACTTGGCATTACGGACATGCCGACTGGGAGGGGCTCAGAGACATCTTCTCTAGCGTTCCTTGTAGATATGTCTGTTTCACTGACGCGTATGCGTCGGCTATCTGTTCTTCGATAACCGAAATTATCCACGTCGGTAAAAAGGAATACATCCCTCATAAAGTGAAAGTGCCTAAACCAGGGTGCACTGGCTGTGACACTACTCGCCAGCAGAAGATCAAGGCACACAGAACCTTCTTAAAAATCCCCACTGTAAAGACCAGACAAGCCGACGTCGAGTCCAGAAACAAATATAACGAAGAGGTTCGCAATGCCAAACACCAGCACGATATAAAAGTTAGGCACAGGGTAATGTCGCAGCGCAATGGCAGTCGGTCTTTCTGGACGCGGGCCATGCAGATTGAAAAGAACTTCTCACACAGTAGCCTACCACCAGTTACGTGTCAGGATGGAACTATTGTATCCGGCTCAAAGGCTAAGGCGGAAGTGCTTGCCAAGATCTTTGCTGCCAACTCCACCATGGACGTCCCCCCCAACGCCCAAGTGCCGTCAATTCAAAGGGTTCCCTACACTTTGCGGGAGGCATAAGACCGTAAACGAGTGCTATTATCGCTCGACATCAACAAAGCTTCAGGTCCGGACTTGATTCCTGCCATTGTACTGAAGAGGTTTGCAGCGGAGCTTGCTCCAGTTCTTTTGCGTCTCTTCCAGATATGTTATGAATCCGGCACCTTCCCAGAAAACTGGAAATTTACTCATGCCCAACCCATCCCAAAAAAAAAGATCTAAGATCAACCCTTATAACTACAAGCCTATAGCTCTGCTTCCTGTTATAAGTAAGGTGATGGAGAGGTGCATTAATCGCGAGCTTCTGGACTACCTCGAACGTCATAGCTTGATTAGCGACAAGCAGTATGGTTTCCGGCACCAGCGATCCACAGGGGACCTCCTAGCTTAAGTCACGCAATTGTCGAGTAAACTCATCCAGTCTTATGGTGAGGCTCATGTCGTTGCTCTTGACATCACGAAAGCGTTCGATCAGCTGTGGCACGCTGCCCTCTTGAGCAAACTTTGCACAGGGGCGGCTGACTTTATCTTTGGCTGCAATATATCCGTCGTATTTGACGGGTTCTCCTCTTTATCCGCAACGTCAACGCAGGTGTTCCCCAGGAATCCGTCTTGGCTCCGACTCTGTTTCTCTTACATATTAACGACCTCCTTTCCTGCACGATCAACCCAATCCACAGCTTTGCTGATAACAGCACTCTACATGCAGGAATTCAGAGTGACAAGCCGATCTCTGCCGCTGAGCTAGAAAAAAGAAGACTAGCGATGACTTCCTCTCTGGCGAGAGGCCTGGAGGTTATCACTGCTTGGGAACGCAACAATCTTGAAAAGTTTAATGCTTGAAAAACATAGTACTGTGACGAACAAAAAGCGTTCTAGCGCTCATTCGGTTTGGATGGATGGCCGAGTTATGCCAAAGAGCCATTCATTTCGGCTGGTCTGAGTCCACATCACCGAGGACCTGATCTGGCACGAACACATCTCGTCAATAGCAGCAGCTGCTATTTGTTTATTGCTAGGAAGTACTTTTCACTGCATGACCTTCTCACTCTATACAAGGCCCAAATAAGGCCTAGCCTCGAGTATTGCTCACACGTTTGGGGTGCTGCCGCCCCGACTACATTATTTTATGCTCGATGCTGTCCGGAGGAGGGTGGTCCGACTGATCGATGACTCTTCTCCAACAGACAGTCTCGGGACCTCACACCGGCGGGCCGACGGCGATCTAGCTGTTTTCTACCGCTACACCAACAGGCTTTGCTCCTCAGAGCTCTCTTAAATGATGCCGCCGCGGGATGTGCCTGCCAGACAGACCCGCCTCACTTTGGCCTCCCATCCTAACCGTGCCGAACTTCGTACATTCAGAACTTGGCAATACGACCGCTCCTTTGTCGAGATTGTGGAACAATCTACCAGATGAAGCTTTTCCCTTAGGCAGTTCAAAATATTAACAAAATTTCTTTGGGATCATCATAGCAGCCGCGATGTCCCGGCATTTAGGCTTCTGCCTGCGCGGCTGCTTCGGTATAATAAAAATTAAGAAGATCGTCATAGCTTTATTTGGTAATATTTGTAATTTTGAAAATACAGTTTTGTTTGCAATTAACAAAAAACTCGAACAATATAACAAATGGGGAAGAATGATAGTGTTGTACACATTTTTTTTAGAATAAACACTTAGGCTATGCAAAATTCTATAAAAGTAATTTATCTTTTTGGATATGTTTGAAATAATGTATTCATAGTGAACTTCAAATTTTAGTTTACTATCTACATATATGCCCAAATATTAAAATGATTCGATTGTCTCAATTTTTCATGATTAATTGTAAGATTTATAGTATTTTCAACTAAAGATTTTCCCATGACCATACATTTTGTTTTGTTTGTGCCTAATTTGAGTTTATTCACTTTCAACCAATCAATTGTTTTTCTGTATTTCGACGCTTTCCACTAGTAATAATCAATGCGGTTCCGTTTGACCAGAAAACATAGAGTTTAAAAATTGGTCGTTTTGTTGAATAGTGATGCGAAAAGCTTATAGGCACTGTAGTAAATTCATTGTTACTCATAGGTGGCTTTTTTTATTTTTTTCAATTCTCATTATTGAAATACGTTTCAGAACCTAACAGGCGGTGCGAAGGGCGGGAAACACTACACAGATGTCACAAATGCTTCGCGAACATTCCTGATGAACATCGAGCTCCTCACTTGGGATCCGCTACTGTTGCACACTTTCAAAATACCTGCTAATATCCTACCGGAAATTAAAAGTAGCTCGGAGATATATGGAAGGGTAGCACGAGGATTCCCTTTGGAGAACGTTCGTATTTCAAGTGTAGGTATAGTACTCAAAAAATATATTTGTCTTTGGAGTCGTCAAAAAATATCTATTCAGTGTAAAAGAAGAATGTTAAAGATGCACGCTCACTGAGACGAAGCTACGAGGCAACATACGACAGCGTGGCACGTTTTCGATCTCTTTTTCGTGAGTTTTTTCTTGAGTGGGAGTAAAAAGTGAACCATTGAGAGTCGTGGACTGTTCACATGATCACGATGCAATTTATGACCTGAAGCCGACCATGAAGGAGCTTCTGATTGATAGTTGTGTTTTTTTTCGGGTTCAGACTTTAATATGCTAGCGAAAAGATTGAGAGTCACGTTGACAGATAAAAGAAGAAGCTTTGTTTGGTCAGGAAGTGGATCAAGGCCGGATATAAGCGGTCTATGGCGTGGCGCAGTGGTGGTCACAGCATTCATGTTCTGAAAGATGTTCTTCTCTATGATTAAGCACTTGAGGTCGGATGTCCCTTTTTTCAACTGCCTGTTTGGAGCAGTCTTCTACATCCTTCTCATCTGATTATTTCATGGTATGTATAGAGATGACTAAAAACACTGTTATCAGTTGTTTTTTTTGTAAAAAAATGAATTTTCTGTACATTTTGTTGTGCATTTTTTTTCAATCATAACTTGTTAACAAATATTAGTACAGCTTTGTAACTGTAAGTCAAAATTCCACTTTTATAGTAGAATTGAGCAGGTGATTATTTTTATACTTATCACGTTCTCTCTTCGAAAAATCTTCTTCCTTGGAGGTTCAGTTTGCAGCAAATTGGGTTTTCAAGAAAGGTATAGATTTTTTTGAAGAAAGTTATAAGAAAAAAGTAAGCATTTCCTCAATAAAAGTGGAATATTCACTTACAGTCTTAGAGTTGTTTCTTTTATGTCAAAAAATGCACAAAATCGCATTTTTTGACCAAATAGAAACTGATAACATTGTTTTTAAGTCATCTCTAAACACAACATAAAACAATCAGACGATAAAGCAAAGTTATTTTTACACCAAGACACAACAGTGTACACTTGACAGTCACTGGTCTAAGAAATGAACATCCTGACGATTTAAAAAAAAATGTTACAGCTGTCATATGTTTACTTTCAGTTCCTACTGGTTCGCGTTTCACCACACATTTCAAAGGCACATTACATTACCTCGATTTCAACTGTCGACTCTACACCTGTTTGACATTGAGCGTGAACGATCGTGGACATGCCTAGTATTGGGCGGTCTGGCAGGGGTATCACGTATCTTGAAAATTGACATGTCGGTTTGTTGACATTATATAGGTATTTTGAGAGATTAAGACTAGCTGTTGTTCACTTGATGTGCACTCGTTCTGTAGATGCACGGGTTGCCTAAACATGATGACGTTTCAGCTATCAATGTTTGGCTCTGATGTGATGCAACATCCTCTTGAGAGATGGCATTATTGGAGGTCTATGCTGTAAGTTCTATACTATAGATGGAAGGAAACGGCAGTGCATAGGATTTGTGTGCTAATAATCAGTGTGGATGATAATTTCACTGGTTTCTTATCTCAAATACACTTACTAAAGGTGTATTCAAAGCTAAAACTTAGTTGCGCATCTGCTTTTTCTTATTCAACCTTGAAATTACATATGCAAATTTGCTAATTTTTAAAAATTGGAGAGATAAAAGAACATCCCTGGTTGGAGAAGTATATCACAATTAACAGGTGAGGAAATATGCTATAGATAGAAATATTTATTTCCAGTCATTTAAATTTTATAGAAATTTATTTTGCGTTGTTAAGTAGAAAAAAGAAATCAGCGCGAAAATGTTTTGTGTGTGATGCGTCATTACTAATTTTTCTGTGATGTGGCTTAATTAAACATAACGCGGGCGTGGTGATTTCCCGTAATGCTTCCCAAACTTTTTGAAAACGCAAAAAAACGGGTAAAATCGTACTTTATAACACTAACGTAACCTCTCTTCAGAAAGGACAACACAAATAACCAATCTGGTACAGCTAATATATATACTACTTTCTCACGTGCAAATATCACTGATTTTATACATATGCAGATAAGTACACACAATCATCCAGATGCGATCTTACTACTCAACCAATGTTCTTTCTGTCACAACTTCTCAGAGATATACCTACAGACTATCTCGGAATTCTGCAACCGACAAAGCATGCTGGGCAACTGATTTGCAGCATGGTCATTGAGCGTGTCGTTGTCATTCCTCCATAGATGACGCTTTTGGTGACACTAATAGCTAGCAAACGCGGAATGTACTATTTGCACACTAGGAACTATCAAGACAGCAAGTTGACGTTTTGTAGGTCCTTTTGTTGACATTATATACGTTTTTACGTGTTAACCCTGCGGAACCTAAATGCCTGGGTCGGGCGGCGAGGTCCGTCATTTTACGGAGTTAGTGCCAGAGCGTACAGACTAAATAACATAATCCTACGGGGCTGCAGAGGGTGCCGTAATTGCTTTAGGGTGGTAGCCACCATCTCGTTTTCCGACTGATAGAACGGAACCGGAAGTTAAGTTCCGGGCTCTTAAGTAGACAGTAATACACCTTTCAATTATTTGGAGCCGCGAAATTTTGGGCGATTTGGTACCGCCTTAGTTAGAGGACAATTGATGCTTCACGTGCATTGAAGATTAGACTTATTGTCTTTTATTTTGTATTTAGGAGGATTTTCATTAAAAGTGGAACGAATTCTGTGTTTCCTTATTTGCATACGCAATCCTTGTTATAAACGCGTGAAGGGTCGCCTTCAGCTTCAGCTTCCTTGTCCCGCTACATTCTGAACTATCAAAAAATTGTTGCTGTACTTTGATTATGACTACAGACTATGAGAATAAGAAGACAATCAAATCCTTGACTGGCTCCTTCTACCTAATTTGGATTGGTTGGCTCAGGCGGAGGAAATTTCATAAACGCGAAGATGACCTAGCGTGCCTTTCTACGTTAGAACGCAGCGATGGGCATGGACTCTTATCTGATTGTGTGTAAGGCAAACCCAAGAAAGTGTTTCACTTCTCTTCTATTCGTTTCCCTTCTCCTCAATGGCCGTGCACCTTTACTTGTATGTAGATCATCAGCATCTCTGTATTTGAGATACATAAATATAAAGAATTTTTTATTTTCTGATTCAATCAACTCGCGCAATAAATGTTTCGTATTTTATAACATGCTCGCCATTTCGAAATTCTACAGCATTTACTTAAAAGTGCAAAAGTCATTCCATCGTATTCGCTTTAGGGATGGCGTAGGAACAATTCTGTGAAATTGTATCAGTAGCTATATAAAAAAAACTTGAAAACGCAACACCTATACAGGGTGTCCCAATATTCCGTGGACATAGAAGTCGTATTTTCACACTCGAAATAAGTCGATTGGACATGATTTATATCTATGCAAAAGTGCTTCGTTCGTCCGTTAGAGGGCGTCAAAGTTTTCTTTCTGAAACACAATTTTTCAGATATTTTTGGAATGGATGGTCCGATTTGAATGACGTTTGGAACACATGTTTTGCTAGACGCCCTAATATTTGACTTTTACACCCCTACATAAATCATCGCAGATTTTTTACATCCTGTAAACTTTGATTTCATGTAGCGGCTATTACATTAAGGATTAATGTTGAAAATATCATAAGAAAAAAAAATTACTTACGTCCTTTATATGTCATAGTTTCATTTTCATGATTTTTTTATTTCAGATTCTAGGTAACCAGCAGGCGTCTCTGGTGGGACAAAGGTGTCTAAAAGAAGGGCAAGCTAAGAATACGTATAGAAGCGGTTGTTTCTTGTTGTACAACACGGGAATTTCTGTAAGCTATTTCTTATACTACTGTGAATTTATAAAAGTGTTTCGAGTCATCAGTGGCGACTGTTTGGATGCCTCTGGCCGCCGATTTGATGGTGACCCAGAACACATTTATAAATTTCCACTATAATTAACATCCCTTATACAGGGTGTGACGGAATAGCGTGGCAATATTGTCACGACTGTGACGTAAGTTTGGTCTGGTTTGAGGTGTGGAGGCTCAAATGATAACACAAAAAATAAAATATTCAAGTGTATTAACAAAACGCCGCGCAGAGAAAAGTACAATAAAATAAAGTTGATACTTACTTTTTGGCCCAGGAATGTCCAGTACCACGAAAAGAGATCTCAGGGCAGGAATAAATACACGTGTCGACCCATCTACTTTTTATAAACCTCCACCGGAGGCGAATAATACATCTTTGCAGATTATGCACTATTTGCAAAAGCAGAAAATAATTTTTGTTTGTGTTACTGCAATAGAAAGTCCAAAAATTTCAATCCTAGTGAAAAAGCGTGGGGTGCTTGATATTAAATGGTAGAATTCTTTTTTTAGTTGCCATTTAGAAAATTGGAGTTATTATTAAAATATAGTTGATTGAACGCCACGCTTTTTACTATGAATGATGTTTTGTTAATATCTTAATTTTTGTATTTATCTTATCCCATATAAATTAGTCATACTTTTCTATTGCACTAACACACACTCTCCTATACTTGAAAATTATTTTCTACTGACACAAGCTGAATTGTGACATTAAAAATTGCATGTAAAGTATAAGTAGAGTAATCCTAGCTCACCATAGCATTATTTGGACAATGTTCATGTGTTATCTTTAATTGGTCTTATCAGTGGCGTGGAAATTTCCATACTCTCATCTTGCTATTGGGACATTTTGGGACCTATCTTTATAGGACTTTTTTTGTTATTTGTGGATGTAATTTGTACCTTATGAATATTGCCATGTTTTTCTGAAATACCCTGTATACGTATTTTGTAAGCCTAGATGTGCACAAATGTTCGAAATTCTTATCAAGTTTTGATATAAGATAATCTAGACTAATATTTGTCATCGTCTATTGTAAATGATGGTAAAACTGATTGAAGATTTAAAATGATTATTTTATAGGGCAATATTAATAAATAATTATTGGTGCCATCAAATCTCGGGAAATTGTTTTGCAGTCATAATGACACCTTTTTAATAGTATCGGGTGTTTGTTTCAAAGGTATAAAGCTTTAAAATGAAGTAAAACAAGGGTATCACTATATATATGTTTTCGATGACTTGATCTGACCTTGAAATTTCCTTGAAGGCGATGTTCAAGGTTATGGCCGATGTGATGTTTAGACATAAAAATTTGCTTCTATTTTCAGTTCCAATGTGAACGAGAGGGGTTCCATTGGGAAATATCATCTTGATTTTGAAATGTTCTTATATTAAAGCTTCCGTAACCAAGGTCATTGTCAAGGTCACCGTCATTCTGCCCCCTCGAAACCCTACCAGTTTTGTTTGAAACCTTTATTTCTAGAATGTGCAGTTTTCTAAATATTTAGGTTGGGAGGTTGAAATGGGATACCGTATATATATATAAGTAGGAAAATAATGGGCAAAATCCGCAAACAGGAGGAAAGTGGATTCGAGCAGAAAATAGGATAGGTAACCCGAGTGATACGTATTTCTGCTGGTTCGCTTCATCAGGCCCGAAATGAATGCACATATGAAACTACAAAAGTAGATACACATGCCCACATTATACTACAATTATACTACAAAAAGGAGGTTGGCTCTTATTGTGGCCTTCGTGTGTCGTTTTTTCCCTCTCCATCTTCGTTTCCTCAGGTTACACCCGTATCCGGATGTGTGGGCATGTGTATCTATTTTTGTAGTTTCATATGTGCATTCATTTCGGGCCTGATGAAGCCAACCAGCAGAAATACGTATCGCTCGGGTTACCTATCCTATTTTCTGCTCGAATCCACTTTCCTCCTGTTTGCGGATTTTGCCCATTATTTTCCTATTTTTTGTTATATACCTTTCTCCGCATGATCATTTTCTCTTTGTAGATCCTTTGGGCTTGAAGCACCACAGCAAGTGGCTATAACCGGCCGCGTAGTTGTGGTTAGATGTCTCCTTGAAAATTCGAGGTCTTTCTAGCCATTTTATACTACAATGTGTAGGTTGGCTCTTATTGTGGCCTTCGTGTGTCGTTTTTTCCCTCTCCATCTTCGTTTCCTCAGGTTACACCCGTATCCGGATGTGTGGGCATGTGCATCTACTTTTGTAGTTTCATATGTGCATTTATTTTGGGCCTGATGAATCCAACGAGCAGAAATACGTATCGCTCGGGTTACCTATCCAATTTTCTGCTCGAACCGACTTTCCTCCTGTTTGCGGATTTTGCCCATTATTTTCCTACTTTTTGTTATATACCATTTTCCGCATGATCATTTTCTATATATACATATATATATATATATATACATGGTATCCTGAAAGTTGGGACAGAAACAACTACGCGTTAAATAACAAAAACAAAATGAAAAAACACTACTTCATTTGCAGAGAAATGTCAAGTACAACTATGTCACTAATTTCTGTTCGAAGTTGTCTCCGTTCGTAAAATGTTACGTAGAGAGGCTAGGCATTGTTTATTGGAACTGTACAGCCGATTTGGGAAAATAAAAGGTTCAGTGAGCGTACCATTTACCATGCCAGACCAAGTATTCAAAGAAAAGTTTGTTGAAAATGTGACCGCGGACTACGTAAGGGTTTTCCAATGACCTTATATGGGTATTTCGGAAGTTATTCACCCCATTACGTTACTCGTGAAGCAGCTTGATTTGTAACCAATATGGACTGCAACAACCAATCAGAAAAACGCACTCTTGCAGGAAAATCCTCAGCTTGGAGTGCTCGTACAAAAGGGAACAATCCATCAGCACGCAGCGTTCACTTCAGTTTAGTCTTGGAGACTTGCACGTGCTTTGTAACTTCCCTAGTGCTTGTTGGAGGATTTTCAATAGTCCTTCCTGAGTTTGCACCATTCGGGGGTGACTAGGTCTCCCACTGTGCCCACCTCGACATTCCTGCAAAACGACCTGTATCCCCGCCCCTTTGCACAAGGTAAACAAATAACTAAATGATAAAATCTGGGAAAGCGAGAAGCTTCGGTAGCATATTGAAGACGTTCACCATTAAATAAAATCGTGTTGACAAACTCGATAATGCTGTACGAATGTGCCATTTTGGATTTTTCCTTCGTGGCATATAAATTTGTTCACAATTTGTAATTGATGTGAATAAATTATTATTATTATCATTTGGTAAATAAATGTTTTGTTTACGTTCGCTGCCGGCGCCTGGGATCAGACTTACGTACGTCGTGCCTTCTCACTTTTGATCGGATCGAGATACAGGAGCGGACTAGGTTTGGTTTGGTTTTGATTAATTTTGCGCAGCCTAATATCTCGGTTGTCTTAAGGTTTTGGTGTATATGCTACTGGAAAAACCACTTATTTTTATAAGATAGATAGATAAGATCTATACGCCCTATAGTCCCAACTTTGAAGACACACTGTATATACATACGTATATACGCTTTCTACAGATGGCGCTCAAAGCAACGTACAACGCTTTATATCCGCCATGCGTAGTTTTGCTCCGCCCTCTTCGATTTCTTCTAACAGCAGACAATTGGTTTTTTGTTTTCTAGAAAGTCCAGTCAACTCACGGCTTAGTAACGACAGTGGCCTACAAATTCGGGAGCAAACCTGCCGTCTATGCCTTAGAAGGTAACCTCGGCCACACTGTTTGTATATTTGATTCTATTCTTTTTGCCGCAGGTAGCGTGGCCGTCGCTGGGGCAGCCATGAAGTGGCTCAGGGACAACATGGGCTTCATGGGGGACATTCAGAAAGAGACTGAATCGTTGGCGCAAGAGGTGTTCAATACTGGAGATGTGTACTTTGTACCAGCGTTCAAAGGATTGTATGCCCCATATTGGAGGAAAGATGCTAGAGGGTAATGTAAATTATGACTTTCAAAATTCAACCAAGATTTCAAATAGAAAACACAGTTTTCCTCCAAAAGATTATTTTTTCTTTTTTGGTTGTTGTAAATTTATTTAGCATGATATAATGTCAATTTTGTATAATTATTCTTTATTTTTTAAATAATTATTTGTAATTTTACATTCTTGTCTATTAAAATTACATCGCGTTTTGGGTATTCATAAAGTGATTTTTTAATTTCACCGTAAATACTTTTAAATTAGAACACCTTAATATCATTATTCAATTTACTAGATTCAAATACGCCCTTTTGAAATACATATTTGCTAGATGTGCTACTATTACAATTTTGCAGATGAAAATCTATACTGCTAGCTTCGTAGTTAAGATGATGACTATTCAATTTTGTGAATTTCTATAAATTTGGTAGTTATTTTGTAGAATTTCTAATTTTGAAAATATGGTATTACACGTATTTCTGCCGCGCCACAGCATAGTGTTTCATATGCTCTGACATATATGCGTTTCCACGTCTGACCAAGTTAAGTATCGGGGAGAGGCGACATTTCCTCATGCACGGCTGTAGGACAGGGAATGAATGTCTATCGATAATTAATTTTTATGGACTAGTTTGACTGACTTTTTTCTCAGAGGGTCTAGTTTATGACCTGATATCGGCGCTGCGTCGGAAGTGCAGACCTAAGGTACTTGGCGCCATTTTTTATGAGTGTGATCATGCATACTTATCAGCGGATGTGGTTTAAGATATCTAGTCGTAAACTAGCGAGCTTGTACATCCTTACGGGGTGGTCTATCTTGATAATATTACCATAGATGTTTTTTTAGGATCATATGTGGCCTAACAGCTTTTTCGACGAAACAGCACATAATAAGGGCTGCATTAGAAGCTGTATGTTTCCAGACGAGGGACATTCTTGAAGCTATGAACAAAGATTGTGGTATTCCTTTGACCAAGTTACACGTAGATGGAAAAATGACAGTCAACAGCCTCCTTATGCAACTTCAGGTTTGTAAAGTTTAGGACTTTCCAAATACATTTCTTATTAAGTCGTCGTCACAATAAGCGAATGAATATTTAGCCATTTAGCAGCAAAACTTTATTTGACATACAAAAGAATGCAAGAGAGGAAACTGTGATAGGTGCCGCGGAAACCTGTAGATATGTCAGTATTGTCTGGGGAAACCTTCGTCGCTGTCAGGTATTTAATACCAAAAATACCACCCACTGACGGACTTTCGATCGAAATTAACCATACAGTGTTGTCACACGTTATAGTTTGAAACCCCTTTCGAGGGTTTTTGTGCGTTCAGTAATATTTTCTATGGACTATGTGATAACATCGTTATTTCTCGCTTTCCTTCCTTCCCCCCTTTGCCTTGCATTCTTGTGCTGGACAGATACTACATACCCTATTGATATTTGTGATAACTTTTATTCACGTCGCGGATATAAAACGTCAAAAAACAACTTACAGTAATTATTACAATGAAACAAAATTACGATAAAATCGACACAAAGTAAACAACAGAATAATATTTTTCTACCAAAAATGCTTGCACACGTTTTTTGAAAGCAACAAGGTTTTGATATCATTAGTTAGTTGATTTTATTTGGCGGCACACATATACCCGGTGCGATAAGTGCTTAGATTGTAATTAACGATAGATATGTCCTTATTATTGGGAAGGTTGCATTTTTACTGATCCTCAATGTATGTAAACTATAATTATTTTTAACGAAAAAGCAAGCCTCAAGTATAAAAACACTGGGAAATATCAATAGATGAGGCCAAGGTACTTCAAATGAGGGTATACGGTTGCAAAATGGACATTTAGTAAATCCATGGTACTCATTATGTTTTGTAAGTTACGGATCTTCATGATCTCTCCAGCTGATTCTTTCATCTATTATTACCACTAAAAATTTTGATGTTGGATTCTTTCTCGTAGCGACTATACCTACTACAGAATTGTACCACTGACTACACCTGACAAGTGTTTTGCTATATTAACATATTCAGCAGAAGAGTTTTAATTTCCCTCTGAAGATGCTGTCCTCAAAGTTGGGATTTTCCTTTACAGACCGTATAGGTCGGGCAAGTTTTCCTAGTAACACAAATACCAAAGCCTTAAAGGTCGATTTATAAACATTGACCGGCGTACCGTTACTATAATGCTTCCGCTGACAGCTAAAATCAATTTACAAACTTGCTAACGTTACGACGCGTGACGCATAACCTTACCAAAAAATGCATTCTTTTTCACATACTCAACAAACACGTTCTGCGTTACGGCAATGGTGCGGAACGTCAGAGTTTATGAATCGACCTTTGAGACCGAAATGTTAAGTTCCAGAAAAATTCAAAATAAGCCATTCTGTCCCTGCCTCCCTCCCCTCCTACACCAAAGGGGATCGTGTTTTGTGGTACTATAACTATATGGGTCATTATCCAAATCAGGCGCCTCGTGGTGTGCAGGTTAACCTAGTTTGTGAACAAACCGCATTTGAAAACCAAAATTGGCGATTTGATGTTAGTTTACTGTGACCGTCTTCAAGATCCTATTAATACTCCGCTAGTGTATTCAGAACGTCCCTGTCGTCAACGATATTTCCATCAGAGCTGTGTAGGTTTGTTTATATCGTACAAATGCAGTCTGGGTGGGCAGGTAGAAGGCCTAGGCAGCCCCAAATGTTGCAAATTGAGAAAGGAGTAAACAAACTCGTGTTTTTAAGTCGAACAGCGACAATAGCAGTAATCACAAACAAAACATGTCAGGGCAGTACTTGCAATGTTGTGCCAAATGACTAGTGAGTATTTTTTTTCTACTGTGTTGCCGCAAATTTCAAACGTAGTTGGTTCAAGAAAGGGAAATCCCAACTTTAAGGAGTTATATTGAAACATGTGTCGGGTTCAGCCAGTAGTAAAACTCTGTAGTGACTTACCCTATTGATATTCGATATTTTTCTACCCAATAGGCAGATATAAGTGGTATGCCTGTTGTCAGGGCACAGTCACAAGATATCACAGCTTTAGGTACAGCAATGGCTGCAGGTGCAGCTGAAGGTATTAAAGCTTGGGAGATATATTCTGAGGAAAGGGAACTTGTGCCTAGTGACACGTTTCTACCCACCTCCACTGAAAGTGGTAAGTTATTTATTTTTTGAAAGCAGTGTTTTTACTTCCACGCCAATTGGCGAGGAGACGAATAATTTAAAAAATAAGATGTTTCTTTTGAATGTTGACATGTTAAACCATCTAACTCATTTCCGTCGGTCTGATGGTCTGCCTGTCTCTCCTTGACCCCTCTTTAACTTGGTACCGGATTAAGAACCGATAGTCCGATTTGAATGAAACTTGGAACACATGTTTTGCTAGACGTCCTAGTGTTTGAGTTTTACAAAAAACCTGAAAGGGTTCGAGAATGGTGAAAACTCTCGCCACCCCTACATAAATTATAGCAGAATTTTTTCGCAACTCTCCCAACGATTCCGATTTTTTTTCAAAAAATCCTTTTATTTATTTCATTTTTTGTCTGTCATAAAAACAGGTCATCTCGCATAGTTTTCGAGAAAAAAATGTTTCTTGGAGCTGGTTTCTGAAAAATGTTCTTGCTGCAACAAGTGTTAATATCTAGTAGGTATCTAGTTGTCATAAATGTGGGATGTTATGTCATTGTCCGATTATTTTTGACAAGCGTCATAAATAATGTGTTTTAAAACGAAAGCTTTGATGCCCTCTAACGGGCAAACGAGGCACTTTTGCATAGAGGTAAATCATATCAAATCGATTAATTTTGAGTCTAAAAATACGTAGTACTTCTCTGTCCACGGACTATTGTGACACCCTGTATAAATAATATTTTGTGCTCGGGCCTTTAAATTGGTCGGATACGTCTTTTAGCCCGCTGTTTTCGAAATTTTGGACCAAAATTGTCCATTTTTTCGTCTGTCATATAGGGCTCAAATTTGTTTTTCATGATTTTATTGAGCTGAACATTGAAATGCCTTCCGAATAAAAAAAAACGACATAATTTTTTTCGTAAAGTGAATGGATCAACCTATTGATCTATATGAGTTGAATTTTATTCACGTACCTCTAAATTGATCAATTGGCCTTTAGAGCCATTCCTCGGTATTGTTGCCTAAAAGTTACCATTTTCATCGTGCTCGAGGAGGATGGTTGTTGATAAAGATTGAGCTAATCAAAGATATTGGTAGCTATGTTACAAATGCATCAACAAATTGCTTAATGTTGATTGACTACACAATTACACTATACATCTTTTACAGAACGAGATGCTAGGTACACAAAGTGGAAAATGGCAGTACAAAGATCCTTAGGTTGGGCTTTAGCGAAAAAATCATCTGTCATGACAGGTAAGTTCAACAGTTATAATGGAAGCTTTGAAACATAGTTTTCAAAGACTTATCTTTTCAATTTGCAAAGTGGCTTAGCAAAAAAATCCATCGTATCATGATTAATTTGAAACATATCAATTCACAGAGATAGAGAAGAGATTTACTTTTGAACAACAAGCAAGTGCAAAAAAATGACTGCCAAGCCTTACCGTGAACTTACTATGCCGTTTATTATCCTAAGTGACATAGAAAAAAGAACGCTCAGTAATAATGAATATATTACAAATATTTTATAAGTATATGCTTGTTTAGTTGGTTTTTGTGATATAGTCTCTTTTTACCAATGAAGTGAGTAAGCGATAGTTGTTTTGTGGCTACAATTGGCATTTGATTATCCTGCCTAGAATGAGAAGACTAGCAAATTTTCAACAGCTTAGCGAGTTTGATAGGGGATGTATATTGGGCTTGTGTGAGGCTGGTTGGTCCTTTTGAGAAATAAAAAATAAGACGATTTATTATTATTATATCGGCAAACTAAGTAGCGTCAGGAATACTAAAAATCACCAGATATCGCCAATTTGCTGGATACTGGGCGTCACTAAAGTAGCCAATCACCAACCTATCCATTTTAGTCACCATTTGAAGTTGTCAAATCGCTACTTTGGCGAAAAATCGTCACGCCTGGCAGCCCTGCCGTCCACGCCTTGACGACGCAGACGATCTCTTACTACATGGTGGGGGTTGTTCAGTAATAGTCCAGTTGAATTTTTAACGCTCAGCTCGCTTGTCAGTTTGGCGTTCACCGACTTTTCCGACTGAACTAATTTTCGAAGTTTATGCGTTTAAGTAAGTGGAGTAGTTTCTCTTCAGTTGCTTGTCGATTGACTGGATAAGTGAGGTAACTGTGTGTACGTACATTTTAGAATTGAAGTTCAATATTTTTTCCGTATACATATTTCATTGGAGACAAGAAATTATGGACAAACCATTTATCGGAAGATGCATCAATTTTGTGTATTTTGATAGGATGACAATTTTTTTATTATTATGTTTCTGTTCAATTAACTCAACTCTGAGATGAACACACACATACTTATAGTCAATCCAATCAATAATTGGAAACGCAAAAAATGCCTGATCTGCACAAAAAAGGTGTGAAGTCCTGTGTAGACACAGCAGAGCATACTGCCGTGTCTACACCGATACATTTAGACTAGGACTAGACCAATGAGTATTATTATTGGTTTCCACAGCGACTGTGCAGGGAAGACATTGTCAAATGCTCATCACAATTGGCCATTGTCTATTCTTTACATATTTGCGCGGCTCAAGAACTGCTAAATCTCTTATCATGGTCGTAAATCAAGAACTACCGGTGATCAAACTGATTTGAGAGGATGATTATGAAAATAACGCGGAGCCTCGAAAACGACTCTTTTGATGACTCATTGAAATGTATTCTTATCATTGCCACTCATTTATATACAGGGTCACACCTTTTTTGCAGCTCTAGGTTTTTTTGTCACTTATCCAGTCAATCGGTAAGCGGCTGAAGAGAAATTACTGAATCTGGTACTCTACTTAAACGCATAAATTCCAAAAATTCATTAATATACATACGTTGGTGAACGCCACAACTACAAACGAGCTTATTATTCGAAATAGATGACCTATCACTGAGAGTGAGACACTGAGGACGTCCGAATATTAAAAGAGGATCGCGTCAACGGTGCGGCGGATGGTGATACATATGTGTACGCCGTCGTTGATCCCGCAAACCCCTCGCCAACAAGCTACGAGCGCGAACATTAAGCAATTTATAAAAACATTGCTGATAGCTTGTTTGATGGCCCAAAAATTAGAAAAATTTACGTGTAAAAAAATCCCAGATATCCTCAGCCGTTTCAGCGAAAAAGAGGTTTTTTGGACTTTTCGCTGTTTTACAAAAAACGGCTGGTTTCCGTAAAACCAAACTCTTACTTCAATATTCACAAGCCTTTATTACACCATTACGCCAGCGGACATAACTTTGTGGCTATATTATCACTTTTGCGGCAGTTTCGGCTATTTAACTGGACTAGTGGAGGCCCAGCAAATTATTAGTTTCTTTAGTTTTTCAACGGTTGGTTTTTGCTGAAATTCTGATGATTTACTCATCTAACCCTAAGAGATATGTATACAAAAAATTGTTGTAATAAATTCATTATCTTTTTTCTATGTTACTCAGTATAGAGGGTATCCAAGACAAGGACCCTATGCATGGAGATCTCAATACCTGTGGGAGATACAGCTTAGGTTATATTAGCAAAAATCTGTATTCTTTTGGGGATATTCACATGCTGTTGAGAAACTTTCATGGCTTAGTGAGGTATTTGGGAAAAATTAAAGTTTGGCGAAATCGTTTTTATTTACTTCATTTTAAGAAATATCAAAAACTTTTTATTGGCTTTTTTAGGCTCAAATTATATTGTTTTTAGTACACCCTACATCTGATAACATCTTATTTTACGAATCCAACCATGTATCACATGATACGTTTGTTTTCTCAGTTATTAAGATTTTTTTAAGTAGGTGTTGCAAACAAATACCTGGTGTAAGATTATTTGATTACCGATGACGATATGTTGTAGTTAAATTCTATAAAATCATATTTAATCTAGTGATATTCAGAAGAACGAATACATTTTTAACATTACTTTTATTTTATCCACTATAGGTGTCCAATAGGTTGCCATTATTATTTTCTAAACATAAATATGATTATCTAACAGTAGAATTCAAAACATCACGTAACATTTCTGGTGTAATCATACTAAATGCTTCCATTACACAACTGCTGCTCAGTTTCAAAAGTATGCTGATAGAGTTGGTTTTTAATAAAACCCCAAACAAGTCCAGAGAAGTTAAATCCGGAGAACGCGCTGGTCAGGACACTTCCCTGGAGGTTTCAATCCTCCTTCCGGGAAATCGATGAGAAAGATACTCTTGAACTTGCCGAGAATTATGTGCAGGATCAACGTCTTTTAGAAACCAACAGCTATTAACCTGTGCCACAGATAAATTATCCAGGTAGTATTATAGATCATGTTGCAACAATTAAAGGTACCGTTCTGCAGTTAATGAGTTGTGGTAAATAAATGGACTCAATATTTTGGTCCCTAATTCCACACCACATATTAAACCCAGAATGTTCTTGATGTCTGGTTACTTCTTTGCCCCCAGATTTTTTCGATCCCAGAAATGAGTATTGCGGCGATTAAAGATACCATTATTAGTGACCACACTGCCGTCGGACCATATTATTTTTGAAGGAAAATTGAAATCTTCATGTTCGTGTGTACAATTCACAAAAATGCTGGCACCGTTCGCTGTCCCTGGTCTAAGTCCTTGGCAAATCCTAAATTTGTAGGGGTGATATCTACTTTTACTCAAAATAAATTTGTGGTGAGGATTTGGCTACTCCTAATTTGCCTAATAGTTCTCAGCAACTTGTAAAACACTATTCTGTTTCATTAAAAGATTCCTTTTTCCGAGACGTAACAGGGTTTTTGAATCTGAATTTCGAGCCAACTCTAAGAGAATGCACTTACTTGGCTGCCTTGCTTCCGAAAATTTATCAAGATACATTTCTGCAGTATTTTTAATATTTTTGTGGCACAAAATGTAGCACGTCAACATGTCGAACTTTTTTTAATTGCCAAAATGACCGCCTGGCATCTTATAATAAAGCAGAATTAATAAACACAATAATAGCAATACTCGGTGACAGGTATTTACGTCAAGTCAATAAAAAAACGCATCTTTCCTTATAAAAAAGAAAATAAATGTAACATGTGATACATCGTTGAAATCGTATAAAAATGCTATTAAATACAGGGTGTACTTTTTTCGGACCATAAAAAATAAAGTTGATGATGGTTTTTTCAAAAACGAACCGTCGGGCACAAAATTTAAAAACACCTTTATGTAGTGCCTGAAAATTGCTAATAAAAAAGTTTCTTTAGTTTTATGATACATTTTAAAATAAAGTAAAAAAAATAAATATCTCAGTAAGCCATGAAATTTTTAGTTTCTCAACGGCATGTTTATACGCCCCAAACTACACAACTTTTTCCTAATTTAACCTAAGGTGTATCTCCCACAGGTATTGAGAACCCCATGCATATGATCCTTATCTTGGACACCCTACTTATCTAACAAACATATTTCTTTCTTTCAAATAAAAATGATTTGGCTAAATTTTTATTTATTTCCAAATATCTCAGTAAACTATGAAATTTTTAGTTTCCATGTAGATACTTCCCAACAAACGCAACTTTTTCCTAATTTAACCTAAAATGTATGTCCCACAGGTATTGAGATCCCCATGCATAGGATGAGCACCCTGTATATTAGTTATCTAACAAATATATTTCCTTATTACAGAGGAGAGGTACAAGTTGCTGGCCAGTATACCATGTGGATTATACGTAATAGGAAGTTTTGGACTTATAGCATTATCAGAATACTTATCTCCAACTAGCTAATATTTACCAATATTTGGTATGGTTTCCTACAAAAAGTGATATTATTTGCCATATTTATTCATGGGCATTATTTGTAGACAAAATGTACAGTTTTAAGTTTGAAACTCTCTAACTGTAACTTTTTAACCTTTACCAAATGTACTTATTTTTTGTTATGTTGAGTTGGTTTTGTTAATAATTTAAATAAAATGGTTTTGTTTCTACACTGTCCTTTAATGTGCACAGTCTGCGAAAATCGAAAGTTCGCCTCTTGTTAGCCTACCAAGCAAGGATAAAAATTGCAATAAATACAAAATACTGATCAGAGTCTTGTAGGTGAATGTTTGGACACACTTGGCAGCCTCAAAAATAATGATCTTTAAACGAGTTTTTGAGTATCGTAAATTCCTATTTTCAGGCTCGAAAACGGTCAGCTTTGGAGAAAAGAGACCTTTTTCTGTTCAGAATGTTCCAGATCGAAAACTTACTTATCTGGGTGCATACTGGAATTGAAAATCATCTTTGTCATTCAAGGGCTCGCCCAGGATTCGACAGTATGAATATTTAGGCAATTTTTCAAGAGGGCCCACTTGTTCGGTGCATCATATAAATCAAGTGACAAATTGTTAGGTTAATTTGTTTTATTTGATACAGTAAAACAGAATAATGTAACTTTCAATCCTTGTCTTGTTTTTCGTTCAGGCAGAGAAATGCTACTACTTCTCAATGAAGCATTGAGGTCAGTAAAGCCGCGTACAGACCGAGATTCCAACGCAGTGGCGAAGCGTCCATGTAACCATTGTTACCATTGGTAACAGTTAAAAACCTTAAAAATAAATATTTTATGACTTAGTACTGTGAAATAATTTCATTTATTTCTTTACCAACAGCGATATGTAATAGTAATTCAGTAAATAGCAAATTAGCCCCACGAAAATAATACGCCCTATGGTGTCTAGGTTTTGCGAACACGATGAAGCTGACTCGCCTCGATTTGATTGTCGGTTGTTACCATTTTCATTTATGGATACACTTGGTAGTCGGTCGGGGACCGCCGGTACCGGCTCGTATCTGATCGCGGCCGCCCGAGTGCATGGGGCGCTGCGACTATTATGTGGGCTTGTTACCATTTTTTGATTTGGTTACTCACTTCTCACTCGTCAGTAGCTGTTTCGGTTACCGGCTGTAGTGTGCGTGCAATTAAAGATGGATAAGTGTCGCTGCGTAATCGATCAACTACTTGAAAAGAAAAAAGAAGATAATTGAAAAGACCAACATCTATTTTAGATAATTTTAAAAAGGAATACAAACACGTAGTTTGATATTTATATGGAAACTCTTGGTTATGTGGTTGCAAAAAAACAGATTGTATTGTTGGCGATTTCTTCTGTTTTAGACAGAAAAAAATGGGTGTACCAGCAGCGGAGTCGACGATTTAAATAGTTTTAGGGATCTAAAGAGGAGACATGAAATTTCTCCGTTACATGTGAGATGTGTTACCAATTTAATTCAGTTTGGCAAAACAAGAATCGAAAGTTGTCTTAACCAAGGTTTTAGGCAGCACACTTCTAGATACCGTATGTTTTTTGGCAAAACAGGAATTACCGTTCATTTTGAAGGGGATGACTCTGACAATAGAGGAAATTACACGGAATTGTTAACATGCATTGCCAAAAAAGATCAAAAATTTTCCGAACATCTAGAAACGTCAACTGTTTTTTCGGACGGCTTGGATTAGTCATAGCATAAGACGATGAGGTATATCAAGTGCGCCAGACGCTCAGTCCAGTAATGTTTATCTTAATTTAAAAATAGTTTAAACAAAATACCTAAAATAAGCAAAAGCTTATATTTGGTAGGTTCAAAATAAACTTATTTTGGTAACAGTTTAGGAAAAGTCGCGCGTCGCCACTGTTCCAACGCAAGCCAAGGCACATGTGGTTACAGATTTGGAGGTGTTCGAATCAGTATATACGGCGCGAGCCAACATAGGCCAACGGTTTCCAAGGTCGGCATTGGCGTTCAATTGCGTTTGCTCCTTGATCGGTACATCAAAGGGATGTTTGATTTGGTCTGGACAGGATTTGTTGCGCTTCTAGTATTTTCTTCATTCGATGAGAGGAGACTCGTGTTTTTTTTTATTTCTTGCTGTTTGGTAAATATGGAGTAGACTGATGAATTAAGTTTGAGATTAATTGAGTGCTATAGAAAAATTCCGATATTGTGGGACCCTACTAGTAAGCATTTTGAATTGTCAAAGAAGATGGTGTTACCCACCAACAGTCTAAACCGTTTCTTCTTTTTCTTGGATATTACAGAATGTATTATTAAGTACCCCTCACTCGCCAGCAGTAAATCGTCCTCGTCGCTCGACATTAGCAGCGAACTTAACCCGATGTGGTCCAACTCGAAACTAAATTTAGGTCTAGACGAGCGCATTAAAATACCTTCCAACAACAAACGCCAACGTCACATGTGCTTGCATTCGTTTGCTCGGCGTTGGATTTTCGGTCCGTACGCGGCTTAATTGTGATTTCATGAGTTACTAATGAAAAAAATAGTTTATTTCCATTCAATTATATATTTCAGATTAGGCAACTCTCATTTGAATAAGATTCTCGGCGGAAAAACGTCAACGTTACAAGCACTACTAATCTAATAGCTCAAATTCAAGATACTGAGATTATTAAAAAATAAATTATCTTGCTACTTCCGCAGGGGCTCGGTTTGATGTATAGTATCGATATGCACAGTATCAAAATACCAAGAGGCACGAAGAGAAACAATTGTAGCACAAAAAGTATGCATTGCATAGAAAATATGAAGTTTCGATTAATTTGAGTAAAGATCAAAAATAATATACCCATAACTTGGATATAACTAAAAAGGGGTATGTATGCTGACAATATTAAAAATAATAATAAAATAACATGTATAAGATGAACATGTGTAAAAATTGGAGTCGAAAAGCATTAAAACATCCAACTCGGGGTTAGGGAATAACAACCACGCGGCTGGTAACTGAAACTAAAACATAAACACAACCCATTGGTACTTACCTATGAAACGACACAAGTTTAGCCTTGAGGGCTATAATTTTACATTAACGCTATTTCACGAGTATCCATCCCGTTTGACGTTTGCGGAGGTGTACAGCTGATCAGCAAGTAATATCTTTGTATCAGTCTGTAATGTTGGAAATAATAAATCTGGTTTAAATTTAGTGAAACTCGCTGGTTGCGTTTTTTTTTGTATTCAAATGAACGTTCAGAAATAAAAAGTAGTTACTAAGTACAATCTGTAGCGTACAAAAACCAAAACAAAATACGGCTCTGCCTACCTGGCGTTGACGGATCCGTCTCAATTATGTCATTTGTCGATACGGGGAATTTTGAAATATTACTGATAATTAGCTGTTATTCTACCGTAATGGATACTCGTGAAAAAGACAAGATGTACTAGTGCCTCACGATTATGAATTTCACAAACACGCATAAAAAACACTGCAGATAAAAATTACAATAAGTTACTTCGACAACAGGAAAAGTCACAATGACACATTCGAATTATTAATTATTCGCCTATTATACGAGTACTATAACTACGTATGCGACGTTGTCAATTGTTGCGGCTTTTTTTGGCATTAGAACTAGGAGTTCATCCAGCCAGTCACTAGGTTTCTATAGATGTGTATTATTCTAACATATGATGCCACAACATCCATGGCTTCGGCTGATCGGTAGTAGCACGACTCTCTGACCCATCCGGCCAACCTAGGTCCCTAATTGTTGTGGCTTCAGAGTCGTCCGACTAGTTGTCATAGTGCATTTTTGTTGAAAATAACCTAATAACAGAGGATTTTTTAGTCACGTCATGTAAGATATATTATCACGAAGTACGTATGAATACCTTTACGCGCTGTTACCTTATTAATACAGGGTTTGTCCGGAAAGTAATAGGACTCATTTTCTTCCGCCATGACTGTACTTCGGAGCGTGCGCGCACCGACTGGATTCGGTAGAGGGTGTTGCTAGCTAACGAATGAGCGGCTGGTCAGTTGTCTCCGAGCACTAGGAGAGTCAGGTCAGGCATTTTCGCGCGACATGTTTCTGTGAGTGGTGCAAGCCGAAAATGCAGCGTTCGTTAGAGCAGAGGTACGCGATTAAATTCTGTGTGAAACTCGGTAAATCTGCGGTAGAGACGTTTGATATGATCAAGCAGGCTTACCCAGGTGTTGCTTTAGCAAGAAGTGGTGTGTTTCGGTGGCACCAGGCCTTTTTGGAGGGCCGGGAAGAGGTCGCTGATGAAGACCGTGCTGGAAGACCTTCGACTTTGACAAACACCGATAATGTGACTCGTGTGCGCAAAGTTTTGAACTCAGACCGTCGACTAAGTATTCGTCTAATAGCCCAGATGTTAAATTTACCAAAATCTGTGGTTCATGACATTGTGACACAGCATTTGAACATGCGCAAGGTGTGCGCGAAGATGGTCACAAAAGTGCTCACTGACGACCAGAATTTGCGGCGAGTGGAAGTTTGCCAAGAAAATTTGAACATGTGTGAAAGTGACCCCAAATTTTTTAATAACGTAATCACAGGTGACGAGTCGTGGATCTTTGAGTATGATCCCGAGACAATCTTTCGAGTCGCACACGACTGCGTCTCCTCGCCCAAAAAAGGGAAGAATGACCAAATCCAAAGTGAAAACGATGCTCATTGTCTTTTTTGACATTAAAGGCATCGTCCACCATGAATTTGTTCCTCCTGGACAAACCGTCAACGCCGTTTCACGTGCAAGTGCTCAGGAGACTCAAACGAAAGGTCAGTCGGGTCCGACAAGACATCGCAGCCGACTGGAAGTTGCTCACCATCGCCTTTCTTGTGAACAGCTACCTGCTACCTCACCAAGGCCGGCATCCCAACGCTGCCGCAGCCGCCCTTCAGCCCAGATGTGGCTCCCCGGACTTTTTTTTGTTTCCTCGCCTGAAAAGGCCGATGAAAGGCAAGCATTTTGAGACGACAGAGGGGATCCAAGCAGCAAGCACCGCTGCTCTCAAGGCTATTCCGGAGAATGCCTTCCGTGACGCCTTCAATGCTTGGAAATCGCGCTGGCAGCGCTGCATCGACGCAGAAGGAGCCTATTTTGAAAGTTTTTAAAGAATTGTAACGATTGGCTCAATA